CGAGGGGAGGGGCTGCGCTGCCCCTGCTGCGCACGCGCAGCTCGGCGCCCCTCCCGCCGCCCGCCCCCGGGGCCGCCATGAGGGGAGGGGAAAAGGGACTGCCGAGGAAAGGGGGCACGAGGGGAGTTTGCACTCTTAATAGTAAAATATCTCTTTTTTATTTTATTTTTTATTTTTTTTTAACTCTGAGACATTGAAGGGAAAACCCTGAAATGAGAAATCTCTTCTCCAAGAGAAAGCAGTTATCAAAGTGCTCAAGCTTCCAACATTTCCTTCATTCCGCAGAAAGCAGATGACAAGGACACAAAAAACCCCCCAACACTTACAGTCAATTCAAAGCCAAAATAAAACCTTGTATTTTCCTGCAGTCACCAATGCTAGCTATATGAAATATGTGCATTTTTCTTTCCAGGCAGAGACAAGCAAGGATGTCCTCAGAGGGTGCTGCCCATCATGGATGGGTTTAAGAACAAGGGGAGATTAATTTAGGGATTGGAGTTATTTGCATACAATCTGTTAAATTCCCGGGCAGAAAAGGTTAAAAAAGGGACTGCCGAGGTTTAGAAGCTATCTGTAGTTCAGTGAAGTTTTAAATCAAGTTAACGCTCTCACAAACCCTTTGGGGATTTGCATAATTTTCATAATATGCAGCATGTTTCTTGCCTCCTGATAGAAGCTATCAGTTATGTAAGCAAATTGCCTGCATAATTATGCAGATGGGATAATAAATTTAATAGATTCAACAGAAAAGTTTGCCATTCATTTCACCTGAGATTTCTGTGAACTCTATGAGCAATAAAATAAATTAGGAGAGGTAATCAGCAGGTGACACTGTCAGATACCAGCTCCTTTGCATAAGGTACCTATTTTCAATGGGAGACAGAAGACAGCATTTTCCTCCCTGTTTTTCCAATTTTTTGGCTGAAATTCTAAACACTTACTGTTTATGAGCACTGCTGCAGTACTCTGTACAGAGAGAGTACACAGAGTGCAGCAAGAACAGTCCTCAAGCTCCTAAATATCCCAGGAGAAAGGCCTATAGGTCCATGGGTGATCTAGATATTCAAATAGTTTCTATAAAGTGGTGCAAAATCACTTCTGGGTAGAAAGCTTATTTCAGACCAGATGAAACTATAATCTGAAAAGAAGTTTGTATTTTGACTAGCTCTTGTCCCCAAACACAAGGAAACTTTAAAATAACACAATAAACTTGCTATGAGTGGCAACACAGCCAATTTCTGCTGTCTCTTTTTTCGACTCCATTTCTAAATTTGCAGATGCTCAAAAACAGGTATCAGAGGGATGAGTTTCTTCAGTTCCATTACATGGCACAGAAACACTGGAGCCTATAGTGTCAATACTAATTTTTGAAATACCAATCATTTTACAAATAAGTTGTACAGAAGTGGATTAAGACCAAAAAAATAGACCTGGGATTTGAAACAAAACAAAACAAACCTAGAGAACATTGAAGGACAAAAATGTGAAATAAACATTGTTCTTACTGTGGTCGTATTTTACTAAGCCAGAGAACATACTATTAAGATATTGGTAATTAAAAGTTTACAATACTAGGGATATTTAGTTTGACTACTTCTCTGTTGTTGGGTAAACACTCTCACTAACAGCCACATGAGTTTGGCAGGGACCTGAGCACAGCATGTAGGACTAACTTTATGCTCCAGCCTGTAGTTAAAACTGGAAGCCGGCCATGTCCACAGCTGGAAGGTTTAGGCCAGTTTATTCATGAGAATTTGCTATGTTATGTGCTTTTGGTGAAAAACTGCATAATCTAGCTGCTTTCACACCATTCTTAACCTCTCCATGTACTTTACCATAACCTAGATCCTCGTAGGATTTACTCCATGTCTACTTTGCCATTAGCGCTATCTTTGAACAGAATTAATATTAATTATAGGGATCTGGAGAAAATTAAATGATTTAATGACAATACCAATTCACAGATATTTTGGATGTTCCATACATACAAAGAATAAACAGCAACATTTATTAACACCTTAACAATTCCTTCAAAGTAATCTCTTTAATTGCTCTTTTACTACTTTACAATACACATATACTGTCAAGCCTCTAACTGCCACCTTCTCACCTTCATCTTCAATCTAGGTTAAAGTAAAAAAACCACAAGCTATCAATGCTTCATAATAAATTTCGATAATTCTTCCCAAACTACAATATTCTGTTTCAGTTTTAAATAACTGTGTGAAAACTGAACAAAGAGAGAGAGGGCAGTTTTTATATATCGTATCTAACAACACATTGAAGTAACTTTGCTTCGTCTAGCTAGACTTAGCTATTGGGTGCAGCACAGGAAATCTTCTGCACATTTCTTTTGTCCGTCTGCAAAGAGGAAGGTGTAAGTTTTATTTCTCTAAAAATAAAATCTTTCAAACGAGGTGTTTAATCTCAAATGCAGAAGCTTTTTCAGAAACTAAGGAACAGTAAGTTTTACCCTGGGAAAAACAGTAAGATAGACACTGTCTACTGAACGTTGGCGCTGCAAAACTTCATCATCTCTGTTGTACTGAACTTTACCCTCTGAATCATCTATTCATAAAATTTATTCCAAGCTTGTTTCCATTCTACACTTGAGCTCTGTTCACTTGTTATGGCCTGTTTAGCCCAGGACATTTCTGCTACTGAAATGGTAGAGAGGGTTCTCAAGCTTTCCCGAGTATTTGATAGATATCAAAATGCCCAGATTTGTAAGGTATTTCAAGCAGTTCCAGAAAGTAAAAATGCATCAAGCATAGGACTTGTTGTTGCCCAGACTGCCTACTTGTTTGTTGTGGTCATACAGAGACAGCATATACTGGTAGATGCAACTACTTACACCAGTAAAACCCCTTAGCAACAACGGGGGGAGCTTGCTTTGCTTGTTAATGTAAAACATGACTAGGACGGCATCAGATCAATAATTCGTCCAGACCCTGAGACGGGGACATTGTTGTCTTTTGAAGTCAGGGCACAGTCGCCTGCAACTCTCAGAGCCCAGCTGCAAGGAAAATCCTTTATTAGGGCTGAACGATCAGGTGGAGATGATACTCAGGAGATGGAGCCAGAACACTGCACAAATTGTACACAGCTCCAAGCTACTTGGAACGTGAACATCTCACCTCTGACTGAAAAATAAAGCAATGCTTGGATTTTTTGTTTTCAGGGCATGATCTATGTAAAATTCAAAACTACTTATAATAGATAAATAACGCTGTCTTCAGACATCCCAACGTTTGAAGTTTTAAGAATTACTAACAGTTTTGTCCTTCTGCATCTCTAAAATACACTACTAGCCACATATGGTACTGCTTAGAGAAATTTGGGCTTTAGCTGTGGTTCAGATAGCTTCTGTTTAATTCCAAGGAAGATTAAGTTACAAAGGATCTTATAAAAACTAATTAGCAAATGTGACTCAGCTTCTCACTGTTGACTACCTTGCCATTTCTACTTTGTGGAATCCTTCCAAAACTGCCATTGCAGCTAATGCTGGAGAGCATCAGTTTACATCCCTCAGCTGAAATGTCATTATTTCTTACTTAGTCTTTCAACTACTCAGGAAAAAAAGCAGCTGACTACTAGTGGACTTGACAAACCTTGCAAGCAGTACAGCCATCTTCATGAATATCAAGTAGTGGAATCCAAAGCCTATTTGAACTACTGCTACCTGTTAAAGAGACATTTGGTGTTAAGGAGCTTTACTTTTAAAATAAATGCTATCTGTAAGCACTGGAGCTGTCGTCTTTTTTTTTAGAAGGAAGAAGAGATCCCTGTGAAAGAATTATACTCGCAGAAAAGACAGAGGCTTTTCCTGTATCTGTTTTTATCTAGAGGAGATGGGACAGGAAGAAGGCAGTGATTTTAGTGGTCATCAGCTTCAAATTGACCCCTTCCTCTTCAGGAGCAAGTCCCACAAAGACTGGAGGAACAGTGGTATCAACTGAAGTTACAGGATCCAGTAGCTGCAGACCTGCTGGTCTTAATTGGAAGGTGAGCCTGAGAAAGGCGTCAAGAGCTGTATCAAAGCAGCTTCCCTTTAAGATCCTTAGTGTTTGAAGAGTGGCAGTTTTGCATATCCTCCTAAGAGACTGAAATTATTTGGCATCAGTTCAATCTTACGAGCAAGGAGAGCAGGAACGCAGAAGAAAGTTCCCTGCACCCACACGGTGGTCTCCAGCAGTGCAACAACACGGTGCTACACACAAAAATGCTTGTTAGAACTGGGCCAGCTGGAACCGGATTAACGACAGAAACCTGAACGCTACAGTGGCAAAAACAAGCAAACAAAACAGCAAAATCCTCCAATCCCCCTGCCAACCATCTAGCACTAAGATCATGACAGCCTTCAGTTTCAGCGAGGCCACCAACAGTGATGCTGCTAGAACTGAGTGAAAAGGCCCATCCTGCCACTAAGAAGGGAAGGATTTTTCAAGCACTGAGGGCTAAGGCCACCATCTTGTGGGTCACTACCACAGGAACAAATCCAAAGACTCATGGGCTTCCACGCCCAGAGAACAGAAATTCTCAGCACAAACAAACTCTGGTGAGAAACAGGTCCAAAAGAGCTCTGTCATCATCATGTTTGTGAAGGTTCGTACTGAAGAGGTCAACTAGCATTAGAGAAGTGCAGAGCTTGTTGGGTAAATATCAACTTTGACTTTCCATGAGAATTTTCTAACATGAAAAACCTACTCAGGGTGTGGCTCAGCAGATGAAGCACAATTTAAGAAATGACTGCCCGAAATATGATTAAGGGCTGGCATGTAGAAGAGAGGATTTCATGAAGAAGCAGGCAAAAAATAGGCTGCCGGAAGTTTCCATTGCATCCTGCAGCTGACCAAAACTAAATGATGGTAATGCCAGTTACAACACACAGATGCAAAGGTAGAAGCTATCTCTCCAGGAATACTTTGAAAGGGAAGAAAAACTTTTCCTTTTCAGTGGAAGGGGAGATATAAACTAAAACATGAAGCAGTACCTGAACTCTCATCAAGACACAGCTACTTCTTGCACTGTCACCTCTGTTATAGACTCTTCCAGTTCTGTGAAGGAAGGTATCCTGTTAGACATGCAAGTCAAACATGTCTCCCTTCAGGAGGTTTCTTTTGGAGTTCTTTTGTTCTGAGTGTTTTTTTGGAGTAAGAGAATGAAAGTCTGAGAAAGGGTGCAAGACATGACAATATCCTCACAATATGCTGTGAGGAAAATGAAAGGATGCAAATACTATTTCTATAGGTTCTGGAGCAATGTGGAAAACCTCTCACTCAAGAGCACTAGATAGACCAACCAGCTCCTGGGATAGGAGTAGCAGTTAGTGCTATATTCTCCATAAAAAGGGAAATTTAGCTGAGGCTACAGCTTTTCTATCATCTAATGATGCCATTAAAAATATCTATGTAAGCTGATGTGACAGTCTGTATCAGGACAATTGCAACTAGGAAAAAAAATATGTTCTATTTTTATGCTACTATCTGCATTATCATCAGCATAAATATTTAAACACAACTTGAGATTTGAAGCCTTGCTGTTAATCAGTAAGGCACAGTCTGAACACAGTGGGAACTGTCTTTATTGATTTATATTATTTTCAGCAATGATTACTTTAACCATTAGAAAAAAAACAAAAAGTCTTTACTAATTAATGACTACTGAAACAGCCAGACCCTTCCAGCCCATTTCATATTCTCCTGCAGCCATTTCAGGGCAGATGTAAGATCTAAGCTGTAAACTTCTTCCATATTAACATTCATTGTCATATACTTAAGAAAAAGCTTTGGATCTGATAAACGAGCAGCTAGGATCAGTCTCTCCACTGCTGTTTGATAGTCATCTTTATTCTGCCCTTTTGGATCTTCACATCTGGAAGAGATTTTTCACAGAAAAAGATTATGTAACATACAGGCTCTCTGTTACTTGCATGATGCTTTACACAAAGCAATAGACTATAAAAAAATTTAAAATAATACCTCATGTTCACTTCACTTATGATAGATTATGTTAATTTCTAGACAATTTTTAGCTGATTATTCTGAAGAATTAAAAAGTTAGAAAAAGCGTTCTCTTAAACATACTTCAGAGTACTGAAAAATAATCGGATTTAATGCCAATACAAAGTAGGTCTGCAGTATTCACTGCAGTGCATTTCATCAAGAAATGCTGGAAAATTCAGTACAGCAAGGTAAACATCTTATGAACTGGATATTTCAGAAGTTTATGTACATGCTTGAATCCAAAATATTTATTCATTTTTGGAATGTGATCAGTTTTGGAGTAAGGATGTGCTAATGACACATCTATGTTTTCGCACGATCAGGACAAGAGTCTTTAACCAAACAGCAGCAGTACAACAGCATACACCTGAAACTGCTATCTAGTGTTCCCGAGAACTTCTCTTAATCAACAAATAGTCTTAAAAAAGAAGAAAAAATATAGCATAATGCAGTTAAATTTCTTCAAATTATCGGAAGAATGTATCATGTCTCATCACAAAAAACACTATGAAGGCAAATATTTTAAAAATTATGCTGTTCTTCGGGACAGCACTATTTTCTAAATAAATTCAATCATATTTTATGTTCAGTATGATACTTTTTTCTCCTGCAAGATACACATTTCTTATCTTACAGAATACAATGATTATTTTGACTTGACATAGTCAAACGTCATTCCAAATGTAAATTTAATATTCTCCTAAAGGACAGCAGAAAAGCTTGTAGAAAAAAAATCAGGCGTCTTTGAGGCAAGCTGTTCCAAAAAGACAAAAGAGATAAAAATCTTATTTGTCAAAAAGAAAAACTGAGAGATGTATTCCTCGGGAAGGGTGGGGGAAAGAAGACACAGAGTATTCAGTCTGAGAAGTCCCTGCTTACATTTCTTAACAAATCCAGCTTTTCTATGCAGTTTCACATTCTAATGCTGAGTCACCAAATCTCAGACAAAATGGGTCTTGAGAAATTGGTATAATCTAGTGACAGTAGTTGGTACTTTCTGAACAAGAGGGGGAAAAAAAAGAAACTTTTATCTGAAGGTATTCAGTCTCATAATGAGGGGAAAATCACATAAAGAATTTTGATACTGAGGTATCCCCTACAAACAGAATAAAACAAAATGGCTTCCTTCACTCCCCAAAGAACGTCCAAGAAATGTTAGATTTGCCTTTCAAAAAGTTAACATTTTGACTCTGCCCTTCTACTCCTCTGCTTAATCACAACAAAAGAATCTATATACTGAAATATCAAACTATCCTGGTTTAGAAAATACAGTCATCTTTTTATATGCTAAATCCATTCAGTTAGGATAGCCAGTCCAGTATCAGTCTGGAACAGCTATTTTTTGCTGGTAGCTGTGATATACATAAAAGAATTAAAAAAATAGTATGTTTACTGCTCCATAACCACAGCAATTTTTTTAAAACAAGGAATCTCTTTCACAGCTTACAGAATATTATATGATCATATTGATAAAAACAATGGTATGTATTTGTCAACAAACCTTTTCAGTATGATTTGAAGAGCCTGACTGGTAGCACCTGGACTTTGAACACCGCTAGCATTTGAAACAAGGAATATTTCAATGGCCAGCAGCATCTCTACTTCAGACAGGTAAGAAGGAATTGGCAGAAGTTTGTGATATGTATTTCCCTGCAGCAGTGGGTAGCAACCCAACGATAAAGCACCTTGACAGTAAATGCAGAAATACAAGAAATTAGGGTTATCAATGCTGAACACAGATCTGAATTCGTCTCTATTCATCTATATGTGGCTTACAATGCAGAAAAAAGTAGATAAATATCCTAAAAGAGCAGGAATTCTTAACAAACCTTATTTCACCTGTGAAAAAGCCCAATCAACAACACAACAAATACTCCATCTCATAATAATATGTTGTAAAATGTTATTTTCATCAACGAATATTATCAATGACAGTTATAGCTCTAGGTAGAAGTATAAAGGAAAATTTGCCTAAATGAAAGTGTGAAGATGACACACTTAAATTTTGTCTGCATTCATATTTGGAAATTATGAAATTGAAAATAAAAAATTAATTTTACGAGAGCTATACTTCTTTCACGCCAAGAAGTCTTCACTGATTATTATTTTCAATTGTAGCTGCTTCCTAATAAATATTCTGGTTACAAATGAATTGCAGATAGTGACATAGAAAGTACTGTTTTCTCCTTTTAAAGTACACAGCCAATTCTCTCCAACACAACGAGCTTTTGTGAGTGCATGCTGTCCAAAGAGCATAAGCAAAGGAGAGTGTTTACAAAGCAACTTACTCTTGTAATAGGTCCTAGCTTTACTCCACAAACAACTTCTTCCCAAACTTGTGATTAATCCTCTAAGCAGAAAAAAATCGATAGGTATATTTTTTGAAAGCATGAAGTCTATTGCAGAAGATGAGATCCCCAGGTTCTTGCTCTCAAAGCAGGCATTTATCAGTTTGTTAAAAAGGCGACTATACCAGGGAATATCTACAGTATCTGAAATTAAATGAAGAATGTTAATTACTGAACTCAAAGCAAGTCTAATTGTAGAGTGGCTTCCCAGTGTTGGCCTCAGCACCTAAATAAGGACTCTTACTTCCATTAGCAGAAGGGCATAAGGTGGAGAATACTTACGACAAAGATGCTTCAGGTCTTTTCACATAGTTATACCCATTTCACTTATGTTGTGAAAGAGGAAGTGTTAAAGCCCACATCATAACTCCCCGCTAAAAACAGTATGATCAGATAAAAATATATTTCCTACCCAAGTCTACGAATACAATATCTTTATATGGTGTCTCTGACTCCCAGTAAAGTCATCTTGGTGCCAAAAGTTCTGCTTTGGCCCATACTCCACAGTTGGCAGGACTCAGCAGCCTAGTATCCATCTCATGGCAAAACATGTTTTAGGATCCTCAAGGTACCAACACGTGTTCCAACCAGGTTCTCCTGGTATACCTAAGACCGCACATGGATAATAGGACACAGCCCTATCCATGTGCGTCAAGGGAGGTTTCTTCAGTGGAGACTAAGCAACTACCTATCTCAAACTACACATTCAAAATTTGTCAGATAAACCGATCCTGAGAAAGCACTCGTTTCTTCACACGGTGTGCAATAAAAGACTGCTATTGCTAGTTCATCTTTAGAAATCAACAGCGCACATTTCCACATTGAAATTACAGGAAATGAAGCTCCCTGATGACATCTCTGTCATACTGTAGAGATCGTATGGTCCTTGAAAAATGTGTGGATCTTTCCTACAGTTCTGTGTAACTGGGACAACTGGAAAAAGGAGGGGTGTATAAAGTTGTGTGAATGTGTGTATATGTGTATTACTGACTTAATAATTAAGAGTTGCAGAGTACAATGGGCACTGTGACATCTGCACTCTGCAAGAAAATGGACACGTGAAAAATCCATCTTCAACAAATTTTAGCAGGAAATAGGGAGTAAAAAAAAAAAAAGAACAGTATAGAATCCTATTCAATTTTTACCTTTCTTTACTTACCAGAACAATTTTGGAAGCCTGGTAAGTTCTGCAGAACCTCAAATGCCTGCCTGTATAAGCTCTTACTCAAGTACTGGTGCACCAGCGAGCGTAAGAGATTGTGTCGATTGAGGATGTCCATTTTGTCACAGGGCCACACTGGTGCATTTGTGATCCACTCTGACTCTACAGCAAAGAATACTGCGGTGTTACTTCTATCAGCTGAAACGGCTGGTCACTCGTGACTTTTGGCCATTTAAAGTATATTGTAAAATGTACCAGAAAACAAATTTCAAAGCTTCACATCAAGTGCAATTCTAGTTATTATTCAGTCATTCCTTATCACAAGCACTTCTTGGATAGACCTTCCCCGCTCCCAACAAACCTCGTATTTTGAATAGCCCCATATTTAAGTATCAGGGTAGTAACTCTCATACAGTGGTTTGCACTGTATGAGAATATTTTTTTATTCTTGTGTATACTTTTGAGGTCCCTCTCTTCTCACCAGGTCAGCAGAAATCCACAAAGCAAGTAATTATGAGTTATTTTATGATAGAAACAATTTAATATTCCAAAGTTAAATTTCTTATGTATAGCTACTGTGAAGAGTAAAGAAACACTGCACTGACTCCAGCTAGAAGATTTGTTAATGTTGAATTTCACCTGGACTTAAAGGAAATTCCCCTGCCTGGGGCAGGCTCACTTTCCCTGCTGCACCCTTTCCCTTTTTTTGTAGGTTTTTGAATAAAACAGTGTGGGTAATAGTCTACTGGAAGCAGTGTTTCTGAAATAAAAGGCTGGTGCTAGCCGCAGTATTTCTTATACATATCAAGAATGCTAACTGGTAAGATGATCACGTTTTTGCTGTCTCAGTATCAATAAATATATTTAATAACACAGACCAGTTTTTAACTTTTAGCTCCACTCTTTCTTAAGAGGGGACAGTACAAACCTAAATATCAACACTCAGTTTTGATGTTTACGCTTACCTCTCAAAACCCATGTTGCACCATCTAAACTTCCGGTTTTAAGAAAAAATTCTGCAGCAGTATTAACAATTTGACATCTTGATGCTGACTTTTCTGGTCCAATAAGTCCTTTCAAGACCGTGAAGTATATCTTTAGCTCGTGCAATTTATCCAAAACCTTCCTTCCCTAGCAGAAAAAGGAGAGAGGAAAGGGGGTCAGAGTACATTACAACATTGGCTAACACAACATATAATTACACTAAATACAGTGTAGCTACATTACCCAAGCTGAGGGGGAAAGCAAAAGGATCTGAGTAGCAAGAATTCTAGTAATTAAATAACAGATTTTAATTTTTTTGGCTCTGTAGATTAAAAAAAAAAATAATAGTTCCCAGCACACCTCCTACCTCCTACATACCTCCTAATACTATTTCCACAGTAAAATGTTCCTATGCAGTTATTTCTCAAGCATTTTGTAACTTATTTGTACTTGTTTACCCTAGTGTATAAACACTTCTACTGCTTTTGATTCCATTCAGTTCGACAGAATCTATAGAACAGACCCTATAAAAAGATCATAGGAATATTTCATATTGTAGCAGAGATTTAACTGTTAAGCTGAAATAACTACCTTGGCATGAGTCAAACAAAACACTAACCAATATACTGAGCAGAAGAGTGGCTAGAAACAAAAAGTAGGGCCTATCTGGCCAGAAATAAAACAACCAATAATTTCATCATCAGATTCCAAGTATATTTTTAGTCTGCTTTCCTTCCTCCAGGCAACTTTGGTTTGTTGGCTTTTCCAATCACAAAATGTGGTCTAAGGTTCCTTTCCAGGGAATTCTATTCATCTATCTCGTATGTGCATTGGTTTTCAAAGTGCATGTGCTCTGTGCCCTTTCTCAGCTCTTCAGAAGGATATTCTCTTCCTGAACATGGAGCATATACACAGTACCCCTGGCAGACACCACGCATCAGACCTGTGAGACAGTTGGGTTTGATGTTTGTGAAGGGAAGGTAACCTAAATGCCCCAAAACCACATCCAGAGCTTGAGGCAGTCCAAAATATTCATTAAAAGGGGCACAGAAAATGTCCTAAAACCACAATTACTTCATTCACAGCAGGAAGGCAGTCCTTCACCTTATCTTTAATCCTGTGGTTATGGGCTAGTATCTGCTTGATCCTCCATCTTGCTGCTTCCAAAAAGTGGTCCAGAAAATAAGGTAAGGTAAAGGATTGAGCTTCCTGCTTTTGAGACTTATCTGAAGCTGGTCATGGAGTGAATCCAGTTAGAGATAGGTAGGAATGACAGTTCTAGTGCATCCCCAAGACAGATAATTTTGGGATTTGCTGGTTTCTGATAAAAATCAAGCATAGTACTGTCTCATTCACACTCCAGTAGTCTGGATACAGGTTGCATGCAATATGATTTGAAGATCTTAATGAACAGCTTGTTGACACTGAACTCAATAATCCCAATGGAGGGATGACTTTTTTTTTGCTTTTATGCATGAAAAACAGAAGTGATATAAAGCATTATCTGCTTTTAATAACCGCTTTTATAGAAGAGAAACACAACAATTTCTGCCAGCTTGCATCCCCTACACTAGGACACAAAGAGGAACTTCCTTGGATTATCACAGGTCCTACAACCCAAATATTAGGATGCCCATTATAAGATGTGGGAAACAGGCAAGCATGCAACAGCGTTTCCCTGCAAATACGGAATACACTCTCTGCTGAGGAGAGTCAGAACTCAGGCCCAGCTCAGCTCTCAGACAGGCACGTGAGCCCTAGGCTCTCAGTGCCAAGAACTTAGCTGATCTCTGCTGTGACCAAGAATCTCTCAGCTGCTTTTAAGAGGTGAGTGTAGCAGAACAAAAACGCTTTAAAAACTTCCAGTGTAGAACTGTAAAAGCATGAATGCAAAGACCTCTCCTTCCATCTACCACTGAACTGTGCACCTTCCCTCCCGTGCCACACTGGGCTGTGACCATCTGTTGTGGCAGGTGGAACAACTTGTGCTGCAGCCTCATAGGGACTTGCTAAAAAGCTGCTGAGATCAAAATGAAGATGCTCTAGAATGGGTGTACTGCCACCAAGATAAGCAGCTTTATCAGATATCCTCTGAGGCTTGGGTTGATCCGGGAAACAGACTGAGCAGGGCACAAGTTTTATGTAACAAAAGTCCTGAAGGGCATCCCTTATAGACACGTACATTAAAAAACTTCCTTAATCTCTTGATATGAATTCAAAAGGGTTCCCTCCAGTATTTTACAAGAAAAAAAAAAAAAGGAGTCAAAAAGGGACAAGAGGCACTCTGTTCATAAAAATATATGCTGGGAAACACGTTGTATGGGGCGAAGAACTCCCCAGTACAGCGTAATTATTAATCATGACAATTAGGCCCATTGGCAGGAAGGCAAATTCAGAGTAAGATCACTGGCCAAAATACAGTCCAAAAACATTAGTGGTTTCATTAGGTATTTTTTTGCTGTGTTGCACTGTATAGGCAACCCATGCCTAGTAAACACTAAGCTGCTTCCTTACAGGGAGAAACACTTATCAGTGAAACAGAGCTCACTGCAGTGAACTTGGGATGTTAGGAACTTCTGAACCTTTGATGAGGACTAAATAGTGTAAATATCCAGTGAAAGATCTAATCTTTAAACCCTGGGCCTCTGCATTATTTGATAGCAAGGGAAGGATTGTAAGCAGTATTTCGTTGTGATATTTAAGTCTTTGCAAGACTCACAAGACTCCTAGGTCCAAATCTGGCATGTGGTGTGAAATGACCAAGAACCCTGTTTTCCAAAGAAGAAAAGCACTTTCAGTGATATTTTGGGAATAAACCGCTCACCAACTACATGGATACCTTGCTTTGCCTCTCCTTTATATTCCTTGCCTTAAACCCTTCCAACTGACACCAAGTTCAGAGGCATCAGTGCAGGAAAGGGCTCTCACACTTCCTCAAATATTCCCTGAGCTGAGAGGTCTCTGGACATGAAAGTATTGACAGAAGGAAGTGACGGTAGTGAGAAACAACCCCAAAGCACCACAAACGGTTTAATCCGGCTGGATAGCTGAGGAGGGCTAAGGCAGGGTGAGACAGAAGGCAGAGCCATTGAGCCAGGGGAACATGGTTTAATGTTCGACAAGAATTGACGCCGTCTCCCAAACACACTGCTAGAGTCCGGTATACCTTTATCCACTGCAGTACTTTGTGATAAGAATACATTACACTTATCCCAGCTCTTCCAATGAAAATTCTGTCTGCTTCATTACTTTGTGAATTTTTTATTACTAGAAGGGAAAAAAACATATTACTTTTGGTTTTACATGGAAAAGTAGTTTTAAAAAAATCACACGCTTTAGAAGAGCCCTGTAAAAATCTTATATATATTTTCTAGACATTTTAGCACTGAATTAGGTTTTCTTAATTTCTAACACAAAGTACAATAACTAATTTATTCAGAGAACATCTAGGATTAGTTCATCTATAACAGTAAGATTCTTAAACATATAATGGCATAACATAACAACAAAACTATTTGTAAAGTGAATTTGTAAAGTTTTGTGCACGCAGCCCTTGCAGAAATTACTGGTTCTTGTTCTTAGTTCTTTACAGGATTAAATGATTCTGAAAATCCAAATTGCTAAAAGAAAGTCCAATGAAAGGTACAAGATGTGATTCCACTTAAATATGTGTTTTTCTGTACAAATAGATCTAGTTGTATTTATAACCCTAAATTTCATTTCTGCTTAAGAATGGGGCACTTCAGATGAGAGTACTGAAATATACTTGTCTTTGTCCTGAGAACAGGACATTCTCATTAGTAAATCATCAACCCTGGCTTCTCTTCTCAATCTGACAAAACTCATGCGTCCATTTTTGGAACAGGTGATGAAACCCATTTAGTATCTCTGACTTTTTAAGTATGAGCCCAGGGAATTTTACTATGACTAGAAAATGGCATCCATTGAGCATTTCAGTTGAATGCATTTTTAATTAGAAGAATTCTATTATATAATATGTCAAGAAAACAGCATAGATTTTTGTTTTTTCTTCTTTCAAAAACTTGACAAAGAGTAAAGGTGAACAATAAAGTGTTTATTCCATGTTATTTTTACCTGCATCAGCAAAATCACAAAAAGGAACTCCTGGTCCTTCTTCCTCAGAATCTCTGCTTAGTATTTCAGCAATAAATAATGACAGTTTCTTAAGATCACCAAAACGTTCATGCCCAGTTCTCAAACTGACATACAAATTTCCCAACTTGGTCCAATCGCTTTTTTCCTTGCAATGCTGTCAAGAAGGCAATGGATAGATATAAGCAAACCTTCTTCAGAAACTCAAACAGAAAATGTATCAAAATTGAAGAAATAGACCTGGAATAGACTTAAAGCAGTAAATAAAAAGCAGTTAGTTTATTATCTTCTATAACAGTACTGAATGTGTTCCAATTTCCGATCATCCCTCAGTGGGTTGTCTCCTATCCCTTAAAAGAACAGATCACAGCATCTAGATCAGTTAACCCAGGGAGATTATAACCAAATAAAGACATTTCTTATAATTCTATGATTAAATCTCAGAATTTTATATTCTTTCGTTCATATTATGACACCTTTTATCTAGCTTGTTCAAATTTTATTTGTATCATCAACCCTACTTTGTTTTACTGGAGTTAAGTTGAATCTTCTATTAACACAGGTGAAGAACGTGGTCCTGGTCAAATACTTGTTACTCTGGAGTAACTTTTCTGCAAGTTCCAGGACTAAGGCTATGTACATGTGCTGTAATTTACAGACGTGTGCTGGAGACTGCGTACACACACTAAAATGTTAAATGGAAACCGCCGGGCTCAGGATACCAATAGCAGTACAGGGCTGCTGTGCAAACACCTTATGCAAACACCTAGGGAGGATAACTGAGGCAAAAACTAAAAGAGGTTTTCAAGAACTGACTGGAGAATGTCTTGAACAGCTTGCTCCTGAGTCACTGTTGACTCAGCTTTAAGCACAAAGTTTGAATAGAGACCTCCAAGGGTCCCTTTCAACCCAAATTATTACATGGTTCAGCATAGACCACAGAATCCAGCATTTATTCTCAAGTATTAAGTTAAGAACTAGTTTAGGTCACTAATGTCTCTGAAATGAAATGGAGATCCAGCTTTTTTTTTTTTTTTTTGACATGTGAACATTTTACCATGAATAAATCAGTCGCCAATAGTACCTAGCTTACTCCTTAATTTGTAACCAGAATGAAACTCATGTTGCACTGACAACCCATGAAAACCAGGGCACTCTGGCTTCCAACAACACACTAAAGTCATATGTAACATTCAGCTACATATGCTTAACTAAAGTCCTGTACAGCATCTTCTGAGTTTGCACTGAAAAAGGAATATTAAAATATGTTACTGCATATCTCTTACCTAATAATTTATATCCATCCAAGAACTATAGAAACTATACAACTACATATTTGACTAATTTGACTTTATGATTTAAGACTTTATGCTTTAATCTTGATATCTGGCAGCAGGTCAGATATCTGTGCCTTCTAGATGAAGAGCTTTACTAGTGAAACTCCACTGACTGGCTAACTCATAGGGCTCACCTGTAGCTTTACCTCTGGCTTTAATGCACACAGAGAGGTAACTCTCAAAAGTTGCCTGCACCCAGATGAAACAAGAACCATCTCCTGCTGGATTTCCAGGATAGTCAGAGAGATTCACACCCTTCGGGTTCCAGGGATGGGGGCACAGAAATTCCAAACTGAGAGGACTGCAAAGTTTTGATGGTCATCAGTAGTAGGAGCCATGGGAGCTATGATAATCCCATTAATAAAAAAGGCCAACATTTGTGAATCATAGAATCGTTACGTTTGGAAAAGACCTTCAAGATCGAGTCCAACCATAAATCCTTCAACACCATGCCTGCTAAACAATGTCCTTAAGTGCCTCATCTATATAGCTCTTCAACATTGTCAGGAACGGTGACTCCACCACTTCCCTGGGCAGCCTGTTCCAATGCTTGACTCTTTCCATGTAAAAATTTGTCCTAATGTCCAACCTGAACATCCCCTGGTGCAACCTGCACCTCCCCTGATGCAACTTGAGGCCATTTCCTTTTGTCCTACCTGTAGTTATTTTGCAGACTCTTGGAAAACTAATTAAATAACATTCTTACAGTTATAGGTTTTTTTTTTTTAATCAGTCTCTAAGTCTTTTTTCTCTGTGGTTAACTTTTCTGCAAAATACATATCAAATTGATAGTTGTTTCCTCTACACTGGCCAAATGGACTGATTTTTGTATTAAAAAAAAGAAAATGAATCAAAATTAGTCCTGGTTCTTACCTTCTTAAATTTAGGTCTCGAGATCTGTATGATTGTGTGTGATGATTTTCAAACAGTACTGCAGTGTATGGCATACAACCTAAGTGTTTAAAATTATAAAAATCTTTGAGATATATTAAAAACTAAAAGCCTCAAGTATGTAAATTGACATAAATACTGACAAACCACAGAACAACCGTTTTCCCTAGATGTTAATCTTTCTCAAAAATGGCTGCACTAGCAAGGTATTACCACAAAACTATAAAAGTTTATGATAATTAAAAATGACACAGAAATTGCTATTTTCTGTAGACTTTAAAAAAGTCATACCAGCTAAAGCATCCCCAGAGGCTTTAAAGAATGTGCACAGTACCTGAATTTCAGTCATTGCCAAACTGAAGTCAAAACGCCAGTTCTTTTTAAAGTGTTTTTCCTGAAATCTTCAATGAAGAAAAAAGTATTAATACATTACTTTAACATCAAATGAAAGTGTTGGTTACGTGGGACGGTGACCCTCAGCTTCAAATAGCATGATGTTTTATTCTGCTGCTGCTGCCACTGGAAGAATGAAAGCAGCTACACCAGTGTGATGCAACCATGTAGTGACACTTAACCTACATAAGGATGAATCGTAACACGTAGTGGAAGTAGTACAGCTGCTCTGTCTTGGTAGACATAGACTGCTTCTGAGTTTATGATAAAAGGACATATATACTGGAAATTTGGAATGGGTCATTTCCTTGTGAAACAGATAAAGTGATCAAAATTATCTGCAAAAGGTATGTTAAGCTGCACTTAAAGCATTGATAGCCCTGGATGATAGGTGTTCTCTTTATGGGACCACTATGAAGAAGAGCAGCAAATCCTTAGGGTTTTCTCTTGAATAGGGATTACCTTGTACTTAATGCTATTTATGTTACATGTTTTGGTTCTCTAAGAATCAAAACTTGCTTTATGAACAGCAAACTTAGTTTCTCAATTTTATACGAAATGCTTTTATGCTAGGGCGATCCATTCTCTTGTAAGTGTCAGAAAGATGCCAACAGTTCTGAAAGGCATTCACCAGGTTGCGGTTTCACACTTTTCCAACATCATCCAGCAACACTGGAAACACAAATCACCTTCCTGCTACTTGTGCTGGTACAAGCATTTATGCAGTCTCTCAGTAAATGAAACTGGGAAGCTACTTCAGATTCTAGCTAGTCATCCCATTGCTTACCAGGCCCATTTACTGCAGAATTAGTGCTTGTTTATGCAGACCTAAAATATGTATTAAACCACAACATCTCTGATTTGACTGTAGTCATACAAACTTGCAGTACACCTTGGAACAGCACTAGATCGTATTTTAAAGTGACACCAGTTTAATGTGCTTCAAAGATAAAATATTTCAAACATAAAAGACAAAATATTTGGATTCTGACTGCAGTTATAATTAGTTTTTTTCCATACTCATCATCAGAATACAATTAGGCATGATAAAATAGAATCACATGCATTTCCATCCAAACTAAGTTTGCATTTTCTAATTGGCTTTTTAAGTTTTCCATAAACTTCTGAAATAGAACCTGAAAAAGAACTAGATTAATTCAGTTATAAAATAGCTCCTTGAAGACATACCTGGATTTTATGTTCAGAATAGTATTTATTTCCTGCCTGGAAACTTGCAATTGGTGAAGGAACTTAATGATGAAGTTGAAATGTTCAAACTCAAGAAACATACCAGCATCAACAAGCTGTAATATCAAATAGGGGGAAGAAAAATAAGCACACAAAAATTGGCATGACTTAAATATTTTCGGAGGCAAGCGGCAAACGTCAGTGGGAAAAACATGTCACAAAGAATCTCAGTCAAAAGCTAGGAGGTAATTGAAAGCCTGTATCAAAAGTTCTGCTAACCACAGTGAAACTTCAAATTGAAATCTATTTAAAGGATCATAAAATGATACATTTGAGTTTTAAAACAAGAGAAGGCATTTCAGAAATTTCAACGAATAGTAGTACAATTAATCTCATACCTTACAAAACATACTGATTAACGCAGGCACAGCATCTTTTACATTCAAAGATGCCATATATTCAAAAATTTTCAGAAGAACATCAACAGCAGGCTAATTTAGAAAAAAAAAAGGCAGAATTAGTTTTACAACGTTGTTCAATTAGAAAGCTTACAGTTTTTACTACAGAACTTATGAACTGCTTTTGTTTTATTTCTCTTAAAGAAACTGGGTGCCAAAGTAAAACCGAACATTATTGCAAATGGCAAAATACTAGGATACTATGGATCAAAGTGTGTTTCAAAATATTTCAAGGTCACTTACCAGCATATTAATCAGTAGAGTAACATTCAGTATCTGAAATACTTCTTGAAACAAACAGTTCTTGAGTAAAGAAATGAGAAGATCATTCAGGACTTGTGAAGCAAAATCCACACCAGGCATAGCTTCTCTGTAATAGTTTACAAATATTTGTGCTGCAAAAGAGATTAAAATTATTTCACTTCAGGATAACTGATTATTAGCCATTTAAGCAAGTTATTTCCTTAAATTTTAAAAGCAGTATAACAATTCTCAATTGACTAGCATATCATAGGACAGGGATAAATGAAGAAAATCAAGATAAAAGATGAAATAAGGACAAATGGATAAAAAGAACCAGTTGGTATTGCATTAAGCCAGTGAGACCTTTCCAGCTGTGAAGCATCAGACAGTGCAGTGCAGTTATACCCAGGCAGATGATCTTACTAGCTGTTCCTGTGCTAGCCTTGACAGACAGGTACTTGACAGCCTGCAGGTACTTGGTGTTGTCTGCCTTGTAGCACAAGGGAGCATTAATAAACAGGGTGCAATTGATTCCCACGCTGGAATGGCTTTACATCCATTCTAATAATCATAGAATCATAGAATCATTAAGGTTGGAAGGGACCTCAATCACAGCAGAATGATTGTCTGATACAGAGTAAAGCTGCTTGGGTGCACTTATTTGGAAGAACTTAATACTAAACTTTTTAGACTTAAGAGTGTTTGGTCAGGATGTTTAAAAGTATCTTACAAAATTCTGGTTTTATTAAAAAGCTCCACTCAAGTTATTGATCTCTAATCTCGAAGCTAGTTCCATCCTGGCTCAGTGGATTTTGTTTGCAAATAAGATTTACAACAACCTCCTGAAAAAACTGCATTGCTAAACTTCCAATCTCAACAGGAGCTGTGCTGAAGAACAACCGGACTGGATACACTCCCTCTAAATCAGAGCTTCTTATTCTCTGTTAGGGTTTCACCATTACTCTCCAGACTGCTTCTGTATATAATGGTTTAAATAAGCTATGTACGAGGCATGCCTCAAGAGCTACCACTATATCACATACTTGCACGCTGTAGCAGGCCTAATTCATTACTTGTAATGTATGTCCGAAGTACTGCCATGCATATCTAGAAAGAGAGAAAAAAAACAGTAAAACATGACCTCAGTTTATGCTATAGTCAAACAACAGAGCAATCCACAAACACAAGTTCTGTAAGGAAAATAGGGTTTACACTACTTCTGATTATTTTACTCATACATAGTTGCGTCAAGAGGCAAAGGCACTGTTAAAGCACAGCAAATTCATAAAGTTAAAAAAAATATATAAAGATGGCATTTTTGGAAAAAGATCTGCTGGGATCACAGCTTCCTGCATGTTTAGATATACACTCATAATTTAAAAAAGGGAATTGAAAATATTATTACTTGCCACTAGTATAAACATTACAGATTTTAAGCAAATATTCAGAGAAAGGATGCAAGTGAAAATGTGATGAAAAAAAGTACATAAATGCTTCAACTTAGAGTCAGACAATCACCTAGAAATAAAGTTACTAATACTGTATCTTCCCCCAAAACTACTCATAACGGCATAGAAGAAAAATCTCAGAACTTGAATTACTGAAAAATTTAACCTCAGATCCATTTTTTTAAAGATATCTATATTTAGATATTTTCATATGATATTTTGTTTGGGAACATTTTTATCTTAACATCATAAACTGCCCTAAAAGGCATCTTAACCTCAGTTCTGCGATACTTAAGCACTTTGCTTCAGATGAAGAAATAGAGTGCTTAGATTAAATCTCAGAATTCTTAGCTAGAATAAAAATTTTGGTAACTGATGTCACTTCTTGATTTACCTTTCTGCACAATTGCTTGAATGGGCCTTACATTTAATACTGTTTTGATACTATTTTGTGAAGTAATCAAAATCAAGAGATGAACCACCCTGAATTTAAACTCAACTACAAAACTGGAGGGGCCAGTCATGGCTTTAGTTATGCAGTAAATGGATTATCATCAAAGCCCAAGATACTGGCTTGTGGCCAAGAGATCCTTCGCTAAGACCAATGGCCTGTTCGGATCACCAAGTCAAACAATAAAAATTCTGTATCTATGTATGCAGATTATAAATAAAGGTAGGTTTGGTTTTGGAACAGTACCATCGTGCCACTGAACAGCAGTTTGAGACACCCCTTTCAGAAAATCACGTGGAATCTTTCATCACTAATATTAATGTGGTTTTGTTTGTGGACTCATTTAATCCAAAGCTACAATCCCAGGTGGCTGAGGGCATTTCCAAAACAAACTTTAGTGCACGCTTACGCTATGTAAATTAATTTGCCTTCTTTTGGTGTCTGTTTTCCTCCTCCTTTGGACTGACTCCCAAAAAAAGCCAAGATTGCATCTGGAGCTATGACTGTTCCAAGTATTAGTGAAATTGCTTGGAAAATCCAGTTGTAAAACAATTTGGGACAAGTTACACTCCATGCATAAAAAAATCTGTGTGCTTCATTTCCGGCTTCTAGCAGGCTTACATTGATTTAATTGTTTCAATTTATAAAAACTGCAATTAAATCTATGGACCATGTGAAAACACGAGTCTCTAAATTCTAGTTAATCACAAAAGGTTTAAGATGAGGGCACTTGTAAATAGTTAAAAAAATAAACTTGCAGTGGGAAACTTTGCCTAAACCTGCCTCTGAATTGTGACAGGAAAGAATCTTCTAGTAAACAAAAAGACAACGAAGGTGAAGATGTTTCCTGGGTGGAATTACTCCAAAATAGACATTAACTGTCAGAAAACAGCCTGTTAAAGAAAAAAAAAAGGAACAAACAAACAACATAGAAATAGTACTTAGAACTACTTTGGGAAAAAATAATACTATTTTTTTCATTGGTGAGTACTGTAATGCCAGTAGAAGAGCTCAACATTCCCTCTACGAATAAAGGACATTTTTTCCATTTTCGAAAGGTAAACCACCCTGCTCCCTCAACCTAACTAGTTGATGCCACAAGTCATTTAACACAACAACTTAATGACAATGATAACAAATTGGATATGTATGTTATACAAGCAACTCACTACCGGGTATACCACAGTTCTACCACAGTAAAACAACAAGGTGCTGAATTTATAGGAAAAAGCACCAAAACGTATGAACCTTTTCAGAATGGACTCTGATATCTAACGGGGGGGAAACCCCATGCTGCAGCCCTTCACTGCCATGAGCTCAAAGGAGGAGTCACAAGGAGTTGCCAGGCACTGAACCTGCTCTGCAGTTGCAAATCCACAGGTGGAGCAGGAGCTTCCAGTCTTTGCCATCATGGAAGTCTCCACTTCCCAACCTGGTACGCGCAGACTCCTCTCTTGGTACATCTGGGGCTCCAGCCTCGTGTCTGCAGGGTCTCAGAGGAGACCGGATTAATCTCTGTGTCAGTTCTGACACTGATACACAGTCTATTGCCTTCCCCTCATGGCTCCTTTAGTGGCTGATGCAAGTCCCCAGCCAAAGCTCCCTGGCACCTGCAGGCAAAGACATCACTCCCCACTGCCCGAGCTGCAGCCCGGGATCTGCAGAGCTGCCTCCTCCCTCAGGACATGACTGGAGTCGAGGGCCCTACACCTACATGAAGATAAAAATCAACAATTTGTTACACTCTCTAAAGAGATTTTTTTTCCCACTGGTTGGACCCGTTACACTAGAAGATTTACAGTAAAGATCTCAACTGACAAGCTTAAGGTGTCTTCTGAGAAGTGATATACAGCTACCTTACCTACAGACGAATGTTTAATCCCTTTTATAAAATGAGGGCAATAAAATTTAAGGAGGAAGTCCACGTCACTTCAAACAATTAGGTTAGAAAAAAGTATTCTGGGTGCCTTTTTTTCCCCTCCAAGGAGATAATTCTTCCCTCCACTAAGTGTTAGTAATGAATACACTCATACTGCCAAATAACGCACTACTGAAACATGAAGAAGAAATACTTCCATACATTTCTAACTTTTCTCATCAGCTAGTTTTGCATTCCTTCATAATATTTTTAACCTTAACTGATGACAACATTGCCTAGTAGATCAGGCCACATCCGTACTCCTCACTTACCAATCTGCCATTTTAAGTTTACAGTCAAAAACACTCCTCTTTTACTAAGAAAATTTTAAACAGCAATGAGACTCCTCTACGCGACTGGACAACACACAAACTATTTTTGTTGTTTTTTTTTTTTTAATTAGCCACTCTAGTTAACATCTTTCTGCAAATGTCTACAACTGCTGAAGCTGTTTGAGCTCCAGTCATCTGAAAATCCCAGAAGCAACATATACCATCATTCTACACTTACAGGCTGTCCAAAATCCTAAAGGCATCAGATATTTGAAGCAATAATTTTCAGTTTAATATGGCCTTTTTAATATGAAGTAATTGAGATTTTCCAGCCTTATTTCCTGTAACTGCTGATGGACAGGATGCACACAGCTGTGAGCACTCTGAAAGACAGCCATTCTTGGAAAGACAACAGATGTCTATACCTAGTTAACAACATTCCTTTCTCTTTGGGGAAAACACAGTCTTAATAGCTTTGTTTACTAATGCCTAATACAAAAGTGACGCCATTAAGTGAAGTTAAAGACTACTTAAAATAAAGAAATAGATAAAACTGGTAGCTTGTAGAATTTGCTGAGGCCACGTATATGCTGATTTCAGAGCATATTAAATTACTGTCATGTTGCATGATTAATCACAAATGAGTATTAAATCCTAGCACCTTAGGTTATGAAGCATCCACCAGTTACTTAACAAGACATAAGACATTTCCATTATGGGGAAAGATACCCCTCTCCAAACATTATGGCAAAGATAATCACTATTTAAAAAAAAAAAAAAAAAAAAAAAAAGTTCTGAGCAAGTGGACTACTAGTCTGCGTAACAATTCCCGAAGAGATTATTTTCCTCATAGAAAGACTAGAAGACTTCTTTGATGCTGCTTCCATTTAAGTACTTTGGTGCCACCATGAGGTATCTGGACTATTATCAGTTTTCAATGGACAGTTTTAAAAAATACACAAATAAACACAACATAGTGTCAGGCTAAGCTATGTGGGCAAACAGCGTGCTGGGGTGCTGTATCACAAGAAAAATCAGAGGGAAGGGCCTTGTAATAGTTTTAGACAGAGAATTTAGATCTTCACCTTCAACCAATGTGAAAGTATACTTTCCTAAGTAGAAATTAGTTTTTTAAAAATCCTCATATCTTAAGAGCTGTTATATAAAGTTTCAAAGGACTTGCAAAGCAGTAGAAAAAAAAATCATCTCTTTTCCAAAACATAAAAGGGAAGAGATAAACATTAATAAAACTAGTGAGTTATTTTAAAAATTTTGTCAAAGTACATTTAAGATACTGGGGAATGGATGAGCTCATTTAGATGCTAATTTTCTTTTAAACTATTTGGCTCTATCAGTTCCTGCTAGTAATATACTAGTAATAGTAATATAGTAAGTTATTCTTTACTTTGCGATTCTGTAATTTCTTACTGATTGACACTAATGATATTATCATAACTCATACCATAAGATATGAGCTAAGAATTAAACTTTATAAGAGCTGATAAGGTCAAGTATGGGTACTGCTTGCTTCTAAGTGATTTATGTAACCACTTACATCTCTGTTTCAGACAGACAAATCCAATATCTTATTACATGAAATGACAATTAGCTTGTCTTGAGCTGTTCTTCCAAGTATTGCAGACCCTTATCTTCTTTCTTAAATGGTCTGAAAATACATCCACTTTGTCCATTATTAGAAAAGTAATTTTGTAACTGATTTGGAAATAGTTGTAAGCTGTCAGTCAGAGATTTCCAAAATCACTAGATCAATTGTCAACAATAAAATAATAATAATAAAAAAAAGCCTCTCAAAATGAAGTCCATGACCTGGAATTGTCACATGGAGGATGCAAACTTTCTTACAAAAGCCTCTATTAAAGCTGAGAATGTGTAACCACTGGCATGCAGTGAGGTTGTTGATGAAAAAGGTGTTTTTGCTAGATAAGCATTTGTGGTTAACTCCTGATATATCTGACATTTGCTGCTTAATTCAGAATCTGACATACTTCAAGCAACTTTTCAGCAGCAACAGCTTGGAAGCTGTAAAATAACACGACTACAAAACACTCAAGGCAATGTTTCACAATCAAGTGTTGAAAACACTGTTTTAATGGTCATGGACTTGGCATCACCAATGCAAACAGCACATTTCTTTCAGTTAATGCTAACTTCTGCTGCAGAAACGTTCCTTCAGCAAAAATTTCAAGAAGATATTATTTCAGTGGTCTGTTCTAGTAAGTGTACATAAACTTCACCCAAAACGCAGCAGGTTCATCCATTCATACCACAGTGCGATGTACTTTTCCTCTCTGCAAACAGTCCCTGTATGCAAATCACCTACCATATTATACAGAGACATTAAACATATGCTGCAAGGTCATTTCTATTTAGACAGCCTCTTAAAAATGAACAACTTTGATGTCTGTTTAAAGTTTGCTTTTTACAAAACGATTCATTGACATGTCCCTCAACTACACGCATTTCTTTGCAAGCAATAAGGTTTGATGGTTCCATGCTTTCAGCTGCCAAAACTGAAATACCGTTCAAAGCAGTAAGAATGCTTTTCATAAAGGACTCTGGTTAACCATGGGTAGCACCTCCATTTTAAATGGATCACTTTCAAAGAGGTTTTTGTTCACACCACATACCCGAATTTTATTAGGACCTTTCTTCCATCTTTCTAGGATAAGAGTTTTAAAGAACTGTAGAGAGACCTTGATAGGGAAACTTTCTGGAAGTTTTCTGATCCATCAATATCTGCAATTAACTCACTCTCAATATATAAATGAATACAGAAGATTCTGTTTTGTATTTTGAAAATGTGTTCTCACTTACAATTTTCCTTTCTTCAAGAGATGTCCTTACCTTTTCATCCCCTTGATCAGGAACATGCCAAAACCAACATTTTGCTCTTTCACAGCCACGCAAAGTCATGAAATAAAGTCTGCAATATTTACGAGGCAATTCAATCATCTCCAGGAGCTGATGGATTGAATGGGAAGCCTAAAAAATTCAAAATATAACAAAAGACAAAATAAAACACAAAAAACCCACAAAGCATTTTCTTAGAAGTATATAGGTATTATAAAGAAAGGAAACAATATGTGAAGTGATCTACAATCAAATCTTTAAACAAGCCTCACCACTATATCATATCTGCAACATTTCAAAGAAGACTAAGATTATATGGCTGTTCATTGCCTAATACAATGAAAATCTGTCTTGAAAACCATGTAAGACAGGACAATTAAGAAGAGTTACATAATGCTGACAGAATAGACAGGAGGAAAAAAATGTGATAAAATGCTATGGGCAACAGTCTGAGGATATTTTGGGTCGATTTCCTTTGCCCAGTGGCCAGTATAAACATGCATCTCTCGTGAACCTATGAAAGCTGCTCTGCTTTTCAGTTCTACAGAAATAATAAATCAAAAAGCCTTATTCGATTTTAAGTTAGAAACAGAAATCAACAAACTTCCACAGTGAATAATAGCCCTCCCCTCATCAATGATTTTGTTCTTTTTGTTGTTTGTTCTGTTTGCTTTTTGTTCTTAAATGTAAGCCTACATAGACTGGTAATTTCTGAATAGACACATAGAGAACTGTTTGAATAACTGTAACAAAATTAGTGCCATAGTGTTGGAAACCATTATGGATTTAGCAACTTACTTTTACATTTTTGTCTATCTTCCATGGCTCAAGATCTCTGTAATTTTGCAAAGGCAGTAGAGAACTGTTTCCTGAAAACCTGAAATCTAAGAATCAGGATAAAGGCAGTAAATGGATCATGTAACAAAATAAATAATTCTAAGCATACTCCCTCACGTTTTTTCCTTTATATGTAGAAATCCTTCAATGCAAGGCAATGCTTAATGAAACCTGGACTAACACAATCTAAAACCAGTAATGTAGTTTTTTCCTTCTCTCTCTCACGTGCCAAATAAAGCTATTCTTTCACATACAGCCAAATATCAGAGCTGTTTTTCACAAAGAGAAAAACACCAGAAAGCAGAAACTTAGAATTCAGTTCTATTACACTATGATTTCTCTGGTGACACGAGGCACCCATGCCACCTATCTATACACTCCAAGCTGAAACAAAGCACTGCTTATTAAATTTAGATCATTTCCTTGATTCTGTTTAGCGAACGCTTCACAAACATTTGAGCTGACATAAACATCAAGCTCCGACCTTCGATGAGGCAGGCAAATCCCTTTATGAAGTTTTGCTGACAGGAAATATAAAATTATTTATTCTCTGATTAAAAAAATAAGTTACTTTTCCATAATGTGGCTCAAATACAGCATTTTAAAATACTAAGAATATGGGCAGTGCTCTTACACTGAAGTATCTGAAAACTATAAATACCAAGATAAAATGACTGCTACTGGAAATTAGCAGAAATAAATCTACTAAAACAAAACAAAAATAAACTTTACCATATAGCTTCCATGTTTGCCTCTTTAAAACAAACTAAAACAAACTCCAGCCAGTGTCTTCAGAAACTGAAGAAATCCTTTAAGATTTTATAGGAAAATAAAACACAAGTAAAAGACTCTGGAGGGTTAACTAAGAGAGGATACAAACCATTTGTCCAAGGTGTCAGCACTGTGCTTTCACTGGAGACATTTACTTTCAGGTTAGGCAATGTCAATCCTGACTGAAGTTCACAGTTGAAAACATCTTTAAATTTACAGTCACTGCTGAGTGTTAAAATAAACACACAATTGCTTAATAAAATTAAATTGTTGCTTCTCCTATATGCTAAAGACCTAAAATATGGGATTATGCATATTAAAAATTAGAACTTCTGCAATAAAGTAACACAAACATTTTATGTAAATTTAAATGGCTAACAATCCCAACAACTGGAATTTCTCTTATAAATCAGTCACACCAGATTATGATCAACTGAGAGTATTCCATCCTGAAGTATAACTGTATCAAATTCAGTAAATGACTAGAAAATAACACCCATGAACCACTTAATTTTTTTAAACTTCACTGACAGGAAGCGAGATGATTTCTGCTGTCTTTGAAGCACTTCCTTTTCAATAAACTGCTATACAATCTCTGCCAAAGAAATCCATACAGCTTTTGAAGTTATACTTGAGGAACCAACTGTTTTATTTTCTAATAACCTCCTCTACCCAGCACAAGATTTAGGAGATTTCCAAGGGAACTTCAATTAAAAACTGCTTTGCCTTTAACTAGTCCCAAATACATATGCTACAGACAATTTACTAAAATGTGATGTTTTCCAAAATAAGATATAAACATTGCTAGCAAAATACTTAAGTGATATTCTTATTTGCAATTAAAGTCACAGAAAAAAAATTGTATTTATGAGACCTCTCTTTCCCCATCAATTGTTAACCAGTTTAAGTACGAGGGATGCTTCCCACCTTCCTGCTGTTTAGCAAGACAAATAGAGGGGGATACGAGGAAGTCTGTCCTCATAGACTTGCTATCCACTATAAGGGAATTGTTTTAGCTTCTGAACTACTATTTATTCAATACTTTCCCTAACTAGGAAAATTCAAGACTTTCTTAAATTGTGGGCTGTTTTCAATATGCTTTGAAGCAAAAAATAATAATGCAGAAAATAACTGACATCTAGTAAGCCCAAATTCCTTCAATATTCATCTGTATTTTCAATGTAGCTGGTACATTAGTCTCCAGAGGAGTGTTTGTGGATTTCGTTGCCCAAAATTTTCAGCTTATAATGTAACAGGATTTTCATAGCAATTTACCTTTAGGGTAACAACCTTAACTCTCTTTTTCATCTAGATGGCAAACTACACACAACTTGGCCAAGAACTGTTATATAGCTATACGATCAATTTCTAAGTAACACCACGACTACACGCAGCGTTTTCTAAATGGGAACAGCTTTTTTCGAGATGAAATTTTGCAGTGGTAGTATTTTTGAATAAGCTAGAGAAAAAGTTTGATTCTGAATGATGGATAAATGGATATTTTTCTATAACCACACAGATATTTCTTTTAACTAAGGAAGTGAATCTTTGCTCTGACGTTTTGCTGTGGGAAAGATGTGAATTAACGTGGTATCACTTGCATATACATTCTTATCTAACATAACCTACCTACACTATAGCATAAAGGACTATTTATGCTACTGAAATAAATTCATATAGATATTTTACCAGAGGGAGCTTGAAGCTCTGAACCAAGCTCTCTGCTTGGTTAATGAACAGATGCAATATTCTCTATTTAATGGACATCTGTTAAATTTGAATTCTAAATAAATTTGAATTCATAAATGTGACTGGTGCTGGAAAAAAGCAATGCTCTCTTCTGTGCAAGCTGAAGTCTTTCAATTACTGTAAAAATGATTCTAGAGTATCTGCTACTCCTTTTCTCTTCTAATCACTTAACTATTCCATTAGTTAAGTATCTTTTTTTCTATAAAGTCTTACTCTGCTTCTTTTTGGGGCTGATATCAGAGGGATGCATTTTACTCTCACAGCTAAGTCACACATAGAAAAAAACAGTGTAAACACAGCCTGAAGTGAGCAGAACAGTTATGCATATGTTTAACTCCATGTCACACTTTAAAGCACCTTTTTCTACTGCTGTTCAAAGATTTGCCGGCCTGAATTTGAATGAGAGTCTTTCAATCCTTCCATCAATTTTACAAAAGCCCCAAGAGACAGCAAAGGAAGCTTAAAGTTTCATTAAGGGCTGGTGCAAGAGCCACCAGCCAGAGGACAGAATGTCTTCTATTAATGCAGCAGGCTATAATTTCCTTTTTGTACTTAGCATAATGAAATCTTTCACATACTTATTTTCTTTCACACCTTGCCACAGTGTAACAGGAAAAAGTGAATTAAAAGCCTGATGGTGTTTTGATAAAATCATCACCTTTCACTTGTACAGTGACTGAGGAACATCACAGGTTCCTCAGAGGTTATTCAAAGGGCAAAGCATACATACCTTTTGCCAGCTTCACCTGTTTTTTCTTGCTTAATGCCAGCCATCCCATCTGCAAACCTGAACTGTGAGGATATTTAAAATATACTTTCATATTGTTTAACAAGAACTAACAAGCCTGCTATATTTTACACTACAGATTTAAAACTAGAAGTCTTTTGTTGAAAAGCCTGGTAATATATCCTTGACTCTAAAACATTATTTGGACTGTAGAGTTATTCTTACCCTGTCTTTTTAGTTGACATATTACCTTTATAAACTGCCATCTTTAATGTGTAGGTTTTTAATGGGGAAAAGGATGATGTGATTGAACGAGTGTTTCCTCACTTCTCTTTCCTCCCCAGAATTTTGAGGCCCACTACCTAATTTTAACAGATGTGCAGGAATCCCACAAAGGATATTCCTATAAAGTTCAGTGAAAATTAAAAGTTGCGTAGAGGAGAAACCTGAGGCTCTTACTTGACTGCACGCCAGGAATATAGGAAAAAAACCCTCCAAAATGCAGAGGAAAGAGTACCTAAGATTTTGGAAGAGTAAAGGGCGAATGTGAACGAACTGATACAGAACAAACTCATGAAATTCTGACTTTGTTTTTTCCACTATTCGTGAAGTAAGTTGCTTAACTTCATTTTGTATTACAAATTTACGATAGCCAAAGAATTAGAGAAGGATATGCTTGAAAGTATATCAGATATCCAAATTTCATTGCATCAATTCCCCTACACATTAAGGATTTTCTTATGGTTAGTGTCTGCCTTTTTCACAGCACTAGAAGACTGAAAAACAGTTGAAAAACAAACAGGAAAAAACAAGCAAGAAAAATCATCAACACTTCTAAGAAGTGTTCTGTCCTTCTAATCCCTTTACCAGTGTGTGCAGCTAATTTTTCATCCACATATGGGGATAGGTTTAGGGTTGCAACGTATCTGTTGTAGCACAAGTTTGTAAAGTTAAGTTTGAAGGTTAGGTGGAAGCAGAAGCATACACTCACTGTTCCAAGACAGCCCAGAAAAGCAGAATGTCAGGACATCGCTTTTTATACAGCCAGAACATTATGAATTAGCCCCATCTGGGAGTGGCCCAGCTACAATTACAGTTTTTGCAACAAATACTCCAGCAACCAAGCCATGCTGTATAGAGCTACTATCAATGCCTCCCCACCTATTCACCTTCCTCTAGCCCACTGCTGGACTCCTTTATTCTCCCTAGTGCCAGGTCCTTATTATCCCATTACTTACTTCACACCACACTTACCAATTTTTAGCCACGTGAATTTTACAGTTTAGCTTAACCAGATAAATCCATTATCCACTCTTGAGGGAGTGAACAAACAGCAGACACTATCAACACTTATGTCTGTCTGGTAGTGAAATGCAAATTCCCCTCCACGATCAAAGAAAGCAATAGTTTAAAAAAAAAAAAAAAACAGCATATCTTAAAATTCCTATACTTAAATTATCTAGGGGAAGGAGGAAAGGGAAAATTAGAAAGTTCAGATAACATTACCGAGCATGAGAATGGCTTAAGGTTCTCTCTGAATTGCTGGGAAGTCAGTATGTTTATGCAGACACTATTGCCCAAGTGACCAACCTCGAAGTGTTCCTCCCCTGACGTGCCGGCCGTGCAGCTCCCCCAGCTCTCCAGCACCACCTCACCCTTCCGAGACCACGGGGTGAGAAGCACTTAAAACCAACTTTTAAAAATTATGTTATGTAAAAATATTACAGGTGCATCAAAGCGCTCCTGGGTATCTACAGGAACAGTTATTTTTATACAGTTGTCAACACAGGATTACCATAACAACTGATATGACAATACATTGCTTGAGTTCAAATCTGAAGATCAGTTGTGAGTGACAGCTAAGAAAATCACAAGTTCTGTCAAAAAAGGCTCTCACCCTGTCAACAGTGCACAGTAATCTGCACACTATGAAAGCAGTGTTCTTTTTATGATAAGGAATTTAAAAATTTCGGCATTTGTAATTAAATACAGCATTTGTAATTAAAGTTACCTCTTCATCCATGTCAGAACCCTTTAAAAATTCATCTAGTTCACTGAGTTGTCCATCTTCAAAAGAGTCCTCAGTAACACCTCCCAAAGGACTACTTGCGCTCGATGAAATGTAGGTTTTAATTTCATGAGCTGAAAATTTATAAACATATTATTTTCCATACTGCAAGACAAGGTTTTTATTTCTTAGCTATTGCAAAGGCTTAATAGTAATGACATTTAAGATCTCCTAGGACTTCCTAAATATGAATTTTTTATGCCAAATTATTTCACTTTTAAAGCATGAACCATTCCAAAGTATTACATTGAATCCGCAATTAAAAATTTAACCATGCTGCATGTTCTGTGAGCATCCCTGTAGAACAGTACAAGAGGTTTATTTACACAATATTGAATGCAATATTTTAAGAATAAACTCAGATAACTTTTATTATTAAAGCACAGCTAAAGATATGCATGGTAATTTGCTATGCAAAGAAAGACTTAGACTTTGTTGGAAAAGGAGAATAACTTATCGTAATAACATAATGCAACTCAGAACTAAAGAAACTGAGGAACTCCAAATTCATACCCATATGAATATCCATAACACAGCAAACTTCATAAGAATTCAGTGTTCAGAAATTTCAACATTTTTAGAGATGCCATGACAAGAAATGAACAAAACACCCGACTACAGCATTCTGAAGAAGCTCTTTATGTAAAAAAGGAAGAGGCTTGCATAGAAGAGAAAACCACTACTTCACTGGATCATATGAATGAATTTTGACTGCACTGTGGTGTCTTAGAGAGTGGAGGAAAGAACTGGATTATTATTGGAAAAGCCTTTATCTTGGTCGTCTCTATACCTTCATCAGTAGAAGTCACTTCAGCACAAAAACTATGTATATAATCTTTTTACCTGAAAGATGAAGAGGGTTGATGTCATCAAAATGCTCAGCCTTAGTTGTAGGAAGCCACTGAGACAAGCAGCAATGACCTCGCTATGCAATACAAGACACGAAAGCGGTAACACATAGTTCTACATAAATACATGTAAATCCTCAGAAATTACCAAGAATACTCATCCTTCATCTGTTCCTCGCAGGCCATTTCTGCTTTTACAAAATGCATACATTAAGCATAGACCAGTATGCACATGGTAACTAGACTGAGATTAGTTCCTACATTATTCAGGCTGGGGAAGCATGGCTTGTCTAAACCTTTTTCCTTACTGTAAGCACTGCAAAAATATCCACAGATTAACCAGCCTCAAGATTTTACTAGAATGTGAAATACAATGACACAATATTTAAGAAAATGAAGATATGATCAAACAGTACAAAACAGAAGTAAAAGGCAGCATAAACAAAGCATCATTAGGCTTCCAGATGCTCTTGCTTCTAAGTTAGGTTTCAAACACGTCTGTACTGTATATACCCTCTGACCCTGTATCTTTACATCCCAAAAGACCTCACTGTGCATCTGCTCCTTCTTCTTCCTCAGTGGTCTCTCTATCTGTTTCAACCTGTTACAGAGTTCTTAAACCCTCACTACTTTTTATTTTGTCTTGTACTCAATGAAGTTTAACTTCATTCCCTGCAAAACGCTCACTATTACGAGGGGAAAATTCAGTCTCTTCCTTTCTTCAGCAGGCAGTATCTGTCCATAACACTTCTTCTTTGTGCAGGAGCATAATCCACTAATATTAAAAAAAAAATCAGAAAAGAACACAGAAACGGTACTGTTCATAACAGACACCGTTCAAGCCTGTAGCAACACAGAGCACAACAGCACACTGCTAGATTAAGAGCAGCTTGAAAACTGACATAAGAAACACCAAGAACTTTCAAACTCCATCTCACACTGTGTCTTCTCCAGTAGGTCAGTAATAAGTGTATGTTCAATGTCAAGATTCTCCAACCTATCTAAGAGAAACTTCCACATCAGATGTATTTTGCATAGCAAGTCTGTATGCAAGCTGCAGAAAAAAACTGGCCACAGATACTGCCTAGCTGGAGAGCTCTCCTTAAAACATGAAGAAAAATAGACGTAGTGAAGTATGCTACATTAAAAAGAAATGTCCTTAAAAAGTAATCATTGTCTGAGTAACATCTGCAAACAATAAGAGTATTACCTAGAAAAAAAAGCTATTATAAAATTCTCTGATGATGGAACAAGAGAACAACCAAGTTAGATCATGAGCCAGACTCCAAAGCAGTATGAGGTACTCGGTGTCCTCCTATTGTCTCATCAACTAAGAGAGAAAGCTGTTTCCTGACCATCCTATCAGAGACATGTCGGGTAGGAGGGGAAGAAAGAATAGAAAACAACCCTACCATTAGAAAACTCCTAGAGGACAAGTGGATGTTCTTTGTAAAATTCAGGTTTGTACCATTTTGAAAGCCACTCGTTTCATATACACTGTAGAAATAATCCTCACCACAATAAAAAGGTATTACTGAACTGACAGGTTCTCATTTTATTTGGAAAGTATAAACTCCAGGTTTTGCTACTGAACAACCTTGTTGTTACCTTCTTCTCTGAGAATGCCTTCAAAAACACTTACCTTTTAAAACCAAGCAACAGGAATTTTCAGCATCACTCAACATTGCAGATTCTTGTACTGTATTATCTCTGTTTTGGAAAAAAAAAGTTTTTTCATTTATTATTGGAAAATTATTATTATAGAAATACTGTGCTAAGGAGCCAGTGTATCAGTTTCTAAGAATGTGATTTATCCTAATTTTGTATTCAAGATAATTCATAGTAATGAATCTCAAAGACAGTAACAAAAACATTTATAAAAAACATTTTTACATCATCCATTTTCTAGATAATCTGGAAGAAATCTTGTATTTCTCCTTAGAAAAGTTCAGAAGATAAAATATATGCATACATATATACCCACGCACACATGTATGTATATATGGATATACGGGAAGACCATGCCCAGCAAATTGAGACCAACCATAATGGCAGAAAGCTGCCTATTAAAATGGAACAATGATAATCTGTAGAAACGTAATGGAAATCAAAAAGTCTTGCAGTAAATGCAATTCTAAGCTATACAAACCCTCTAGCACAGATATCTGCAGAGAGGTACAGAAAATATTAAGAAACAGAGTTTCATGATAAGTTATAGCAAGTTTGTACAGAAAGGGATCTTTTTAGTAGAGGCAGGCTTTTCATAGGCTTATTTCCTTTCTCTCCCTACTGCCCACACACACAACCATAGATTTTAGGTGAAATACAAGAACTGAGTCATTTTGCCTATAACAACTGACTTTATGTAAAGCTGCAGTGCAGACAGACCAGAAAGCTGTCCCCTTTATAAACATTAATACTGAAAGCACACAACTGTCAAGAGACTGAAAGGCAGACTTCACGCTCACATCAAAACCTACTCCCAGATCTTTATCAAATTCTATTAATTGTGTGGACAGGCAACTAATTACTGGGAGTAGTGCTCATTTTTCATAAAATGCAGCCATGACATGAATAACCAGTCCTACAGAACCTAGAGATCAGAATGCACTAACTAAATCAAACTACTCAAGGAATCAAACACGGCTTTTCCTGAATTTTAGTTGGTCACAGATAGGAGCTAAACACCTACTCGCTCACATACATCAGCCAAAAAAAAGCATCTAGCAAGGTGAGCCTCCTCTCCAGTAGGTTGTCAGTCTTGTTGTTTAGATTCAAAGTGGAGGTGGATGGGGGGAGGAAACGGAGGAGAGGGGTCCACACTGCCAATAGTTCCACTTGCAGTTACTAAACCAACCTGTAAAATCCATCACATAGTTCCACTACTTCGATTTCACAAGAATGCTCGAAGAAAAGGTGTTAGGTCATTATACCAATTTCCATTTTGACAGGCTCTTCAATCACGTAATTTCAGGTACAAGAGTGGTTTCCTTTACAATCTGAATTTAATTACAGTGACATGGTACGCATTTTAAAAGTTCTAATGACCCAGTCGTGCACCTTCACAATCACTTGCTGCTAGCAGAAGTTTAGGTCTCACTGTTCTGTATCAACGCCAGCACAAAGTACCAGTACATCAAAATTAACACACTGAGGTCTATCCCCAGACATGCTAAAACTCTTTAACACAGTCTTAGCAGATCCAGGCAGCCTGTATATGCATACTTTCTATCATTGTCTGCTGTTCCTAACAGTCTGAAGGGAAATCTTAACAAAAACTATGTATTGATATAGCTGAAGAAAATATTCCAACAATCACCTCTGCAGCCATTAAGTGTGCACACTGCTCCTCTGCCTGAGAAGGTCGAGTCAAATGCTATGGAAGATAGGCATATGCAGTAAAATTGATACAAGCTTGAGATGGCTAACAGTGCTACAACTTGACCAACTCTTCTCTGCTAACAGGTGGAAGTGGCATTCCAAACTAATACTGCAATGGAGCAAAATTGCACACGTATGAGAAAAGAAGCTATGAAATTTCAGTATCCATCTAATGCTCTGACAGTGTTAACCTTAATCTAATTAAGGGAATATGCATCCTCCGTACAAACTACTTAAAAGCGACCCCACATTTTTTTTCTGTTGCTATTAAATAAACAGCAAACTTCATATTTGTCTATCAGTGGTGGCAGGAAAGGGCTCAGGAGTTCTGGTGTTCCATTCTGTGCAAGGGTTGTCTGCACACAGTCAGCTGAAAAATGTGTCCATCTCTGAACAGCCATTAATAAGCTGGGATAATATACACTGAACACTCATTCTAATATATAGCATATACAAAATATATGCTATACATAAAAAATGAATATTCATTTTAATAGATTTACTATAGATACAATTCCTTTCCTCTTTTGCATATGATTTTAATGAATGGGAAGGAAAAAAAGATTTAAAAGATGGCGTACTATTAAAACAATTATTTAAAATAAGGATAGCATAAAGCCAGCCAGAAATAGAAATTAAAACAAACACAAGGAAGTTCCATAAGATTCATGTTCAGGTAAAATTCTGTTTTTCATTTTTCACTGTAGGATTTTAATCCTAAAAACTCATTTATCAAATGCAAAGATCAGAATCTAGTTAATCTATCCCACAAAGGACCACTGCTTCTTTTGTAAAAACTTAGCAGTACTTCTAAATTCTTCCTTATCCTTCACTTTTATCATCTCATCAAAACCTAGAAAAACAAGGATGCTGAATTATTTATACCACAGAGTTCGTGAATGAAGATTCAGAACCATAAACATCTATAACCTATTAGCCATATTAAAGAATTGAAGCCTATTCACCTCTGGGAATAGGATAAAAGCTAACAGAAACAACTGAGGAGACAACCATTTACTCACGCAGATCCAGCAAAATAATAAGCTACCATTAAAAAGTTTTCCTAGGATTCAGACCTTTATCCTAGTTCTTCAATGAAAACACCACAAAACAGCGTATTTACACTCAGAATACTGTCAGACCTCAACCTCATTCTGACACTTAAAACTAACACTGAAACTGTGAAATTCTGTAAGGAAGCCTAACCACTACAACCAAAGTATACAAGATGAAAGCACTTAAAAATACTGTCATCCTAAAGAATGATATGCATACCTAAAATCACCTACTGAATCTTTATTTTCTGAAATGACAGGATACTGAGGCTTAAATTCTGGCTTTTCTTCTGTAATCAAGGTGCCACTACAGGATGTCTTTGCAGGACAATTTTCAGAGTCTGTGAGTGAAGGGGCCTCATCATCACTGGCTCCAAAAAGCTCAGGATCATCCTGGATCACATCAATCACAAGGATATCTTCTTTGTAAGCTTCAAGAACATCTGGAAAGCTTTCACTTTTGTGCTGCGAGAGATTCCCTTTTGATTTGCTATCATCATGTATTTCTAATGCAACAGAGTGGTCAACTGCATTGGAAGAATCATCAGGAAGATTAGATTTTGGTACACAGTCACTAGTCTGAGAGTCAGAACCAGATGATGCCAGCTGTCTCTCAACAACAGCATGTGGATAGAAAGAAACATGTTCTGGGAGCGTGGAGATCTCATGTGAAAGATCTTCAGAGGCATCATCAGCTTTTTTCTTCATAGAATCTGTAGCTGAAGTAACATTCACTGCAGAAAGAGGCTGCTGCTCAGAATTTATAAAAAAAGTCTCGTTTCTTTTCTGCCTTTTTGAAACACTAGCATTGTCCAGTACTTCTAGTGGACTTTCAAAGGAAAGCACAGCTTCCAACTTCCTGGATTCAGGTTTGTTTTTGCGTAAAGGAATTTTGAAATTCGACAAGTTTCCGGTGTTTAACACTTTTATTACTTTTAAATCAGAAAGTGTTTGCTTCGCAACTGATGCTTTATGGCTGAAGTTTTTTCTACTGTTGTTACCTGTAGCTGCACCATTCTGGGCTGTCTTGGAGGGGTTTCTCTTTCTTACAGCTCCTTTATCTTTTTGTTTTGTTGTAGCGTTCAAGGTTGCTTTAACTTCTTGCATATCACCAAGGTTAGAAGCCATTGAACTTCTACCTGTGTTAACAGGCAATTCCAGATTTTCATTGCTGCTTATTCTCAAAGTCCCATAACTATCCACAGAAGAAGATTCTGGAGTTTCAAGTGAAGTCAGGCATTCAGTATTCAGATCCATTATTTTATGTGCAGATTGTTTAATTTCTGCTGGTGATATATGTAGATCCAGCTGTCTCAAACTGCTGGTCAGAGAATTCTCTTCTACAGCTTCAATACTGCTTTTAACAAAGGCTTTCTCGAAGTCAGAACTTAGAAGCTTTTCTTGTTTTGATTTGGACCTGTCATCTTTATAAAACCATTCAGAAGTCCTTGCACATGATTCCAGAAGCCAAACATTTTTACCAGTCATTGGTATTGTTCTTTGACTGGTAGAGCGTTTCGATTTCTTACTAGTTTTATTCAAATTTTCAACTGGCACATATTTCTGACAATTAGAAACATCACAGACCTGAGTTAACACTCCCATGCCACTCGAGTTAGCAGAATAACCTTGTGGTGCCACCCTGTTTGAATTTTCTCTTTTTGCAACTATGGAGAGCTCAGATACCTCCTTAAAGCAATCTTCAAGTGCAAGAGATTTGATACTGTTTTTTCTACTGAGTGACCTATTTCGTGTATCGCGAGTATTTTTTCCAACATTATGATTTGATGTAAGATCATATGAAGCTGACAGAGGCATTTCTTTGTGATTTAGGCCAAAGACCACCGAGGACTCTGATGTGGTAACTGGATCTTCTGCTTGTAACTCACACTCTTTGCCTTTGCTAGTCGTGTTCGGGGGAACATTCTGGACTGCTGTTTTTTCTGGACTGCTGCAGATGGCTACCTGCAACTTTTTTCTAGGCCGTCTACTAGTATTCCACTTTCTTTTCCTTGAACACCTACTGTTTTCACTCTTAAGGCATGAAAAATACCCTTCTCTATGTTGATGCTTTTCTTCTTTACTAAACAAGACACCTCCTTTTAGGGGGGATCTCTCATTATGCATTCCATTAGTGCTGCTGTTTATAGCCCTCTGCTCTACAGCACTGCCAGGACAAACAGCCTTCCTCTCACCTTGGGCTACATGGAAGAATCCACTGATTTTAAAGCTGCTGGCAGTTCCGTTAACTGAAGACTTCACGAGTGTGTTTATGTAACTGCAGGCCTCTAGTCTCACAACTGGATTCTTTTCTGTTACAAATGGCAAGCAGTTACAATGGGTTAGGGCCTTTCCATAATGTTCTGCCTCATACTTTGCTGATGCATTTTTTGCTTTTTCAGGTGTACTTACACTAAAGTTTTGTGAACGCTTTATTTGATCAATTCCTTTTTTTCTCTTTTTACACTGTACCCTAGATTTTTTTGCCAAAGAATGGCAGAGATATCCATTGCTTTGAGTTCCATCCAATGTCGCGATGTCAGGAGATTCAGAGGAATAAGGTTTCTTCTCCGTGGAATCTTCTGATCTATTTAAATTTGTCTTGAGCTCCTTCACAGCCTGTGAACATGAATCTTTCCACTTTTCCTTTGCTGATTAAAAACAACGAAAACAGTCTAATTAAAGAATACTCTGAGGAAAAACAAGAAAAAGAACACCACAATTGCAGTATTTTACGAGAAGGATGGAGAACATTCAAGATCACCAAAAACCATTATGCAGTATAGTATTAAAGCAATCACTATTACATTTTACTAATAGGGGTACAATATTAGCAAACTCCCAATTCCAATTTATATCTAGTCTTCTGAAAAAGCACAGATAAAGAACAGAAGTCGCAGGATGTCACAAGGAAATCCGAAGTACCAAGTTATTTGCAGTACAGCTGTAAACCAAACTAAGCAGGTCTTTCAAGAAAATGCAGGTGCTGTCTGCACAACCAGCCTTTCATATTTTTATGAAAACCTTTTGTTTATATATTGGATCCTCTGTTATATAAATGCTTGCTCATAGGTATATAGATCTTGTTTCAGGTATAGTCTAGTCAAATGCACCAGACAGTTCAAGAAGATTCAGGATTTGTATTTTTATAAAACACTATTTAAGAGAAAATACTGGTTGCCTATAAGAACTGTGCATTTCAGAATTACATCTCAAGAACAGACTGAAAAGGGTACTTGTAAAATTTTAAGATTTCAGTTTTCAAAGTAACATACAGTCTTTGTATCTCAATTTTTTCACACTGTGGTATCTATATTAAGTATTTATTAATAATAACATAAGAGCAAACACCTGCCATTTGAATGTATTAATTTTGAAGATATATTCTCCTCAAAAAGAATGTCTTTTAGGGCAATTGTTTTGGGAAAAATAGAGGAGTTTGAAAGCCTCTTTCAAAATCATCAGTTTGATATAATATTCCATTAATACAATAAAATAAAATCATTGCTTCTATAGCTTTTAAAATGTTATAGATAATTAGTGATTAAAAGGCAGCAATAAAGGCTGGAAACACAGAAGAGGAACCTCTAAAGGTTAGCAAAAACCCATGAAACATGAAAATAATCCATTAATATACAAGTAAATGAGAAAAATAACTACCTTTTGTTTTAGCTTTGCTGAAACTACTGCCTCTTCTCTCCCTGCCTATGTCTGACCTTCTACATGTAAATAAACCAACTGTTTTTGAGGGAAAAAAATATTCTTGCTCAGGGGCCTGTTGTTCCTGATTCTGTTTTTCTAAATAGTCTCAAAGAAGAAAAAATAAACTGGCTGCATGGTCCCCTCTTGTCTTTACTAAAGATCCTCCCCTCCCAATTTTAGAGGTTTCCATTTTCTTCAACAAAGGCCTTGCCTCCAGGTTTCGTCCAAGACTAGTGCTCAGTTATGCAAAGCTAAAGCTCGCTCCTCCCGCTCTGCTTCGTGAGCAGCCCCACGCACATCACACTGGGACGGGGGACTGGCCCCCGTGAGCTTGTGCTCATGCTGGCACCCCACACAGACCCCTGTATCTGCAATAGGGAAACACTCTCCCTGACTCTGTGCCTTCTCACTCCGTCCCTGCCCTGGCACCAGCCCTTCACCCTGAAGCTCGTGGTGCTCTGCACGCCCACGTGCTGCACGTGTTTTTCTGCTATGGAGCACAGCATCACCCCTTTCCCCCAGGCTACCTGCTCCTTGCTGGAGGTCTGCGCTCCGCTGCTGCTCTATCCCGGCTCGCTTCCGCCTCTTCCCTCGGTTTCTTGGCTGCTCCTGGCTGCTCAGACTTGGCAGCGGGAAGCAGCCCCCGCTCAGTCCTGCTGCTCCTCTCTCGGGCGCGGGCGGTTCCGCCACGGAAGAGCTACCTGCCTCTTGTGGGCTTTGGAGCTTTGGTTTTGCCAAGGACGCCTTGCCATTCCTGCCTACGCTTCTCCTCTTCTTTTTCTCTGGAGCCCCCGTCTCCCGCGATCCTGTCAAGGGACACCCTCCCCTGTTCCCTGTGGCCTCTACTCTTTCCAGTGGTTTCAGTTCACACGGGCAGGATCTCTTTGCCTTTCCCTTGCCAGCTCTTTTCCCTTTTCCATGGCGCTCACTTTTCGGCGACCTCACTGTGCCGCCATCCGGGGGGCTTTCCGTGCTCTTCTCGAGCATCAGCACACTCGGCTGTACGCAGGGCCACCACTCCTCGCTCTCCGCGCTTCCCCCTCTCCCAGTCCCCAAACTCTCCTCAAGCTCCGGCATTTGCAGATCTGGCACCATTAAAGAGCAAAGACCTTCCACTTCACTGCTGCACGTGCCCTTCGCGGGTGGCAGCACCTCCGGCAAACTGCAGATATTCCGCCTCTCTGTGCTCTTGCCCTCCTCATCAGAGGAGGGGATTTCCAATTTAATATCCATGAAGGAGAACTCATCCTTTATTCCAGGGCTCTCTGGCCATCCCTGAAGACCTAAGGGGCTCAGCCCATGGGAGTCACACTCTTCCCTCCCAAACCCTGCCGAGAATTCCTCCTGCAGCTCCGGCTCAGGGAAAAGCCACTGGCCCTGCGCGGCGCCTTCACCGAGCACCTCTCCCCAGCTCA